ACGGAGCGAGCGTCTGCACCAGGCTTCCCCCACACCTGTCTCAGGTAGGCGTGGGCAGCCCCTGTCCCCACTGCATAGACGGGGAGGGAGGGGGTGGCGCAACACTACTGCATGCCAAAGGGACACCTTGAGGGGTGCTGGGGGCACTGACAGCCTACCCAGCAGCATCTTCCTGTTTCTAGGGAACTGATCTTATTCCGGTATCCCCGACATGGCCACATCCCTCGCAGGCCGTGGGACTGTCCTTGCTAGGCACTCGTCCGAGAACAGGCCTGTGACCTAATTCTGGCAAGGCAGACCTGAGGGAGGGAAGGGTGCGGGGCTTTTGGGGGAGAAGTTTCGAGGCTTCTCAGGGAATGCCACAGAATAGTCTATGCCCCTGGACACTGCCCCATCACGAGGGGACGCTGGGAACAGCTGTGGCCGTCTCCCAGATGAAGCTAATCAGAAGACAGCAGAGGGGAGTGATGTGAAGAACCCGAGTCTTCTGTGTGTGTTTGACATTAGCAACCTATAGGTTCCATTGATTAATGATTGTGAGTTGAAATGATACCTTATTGAGACATTTTAAGTCACAGCTCTGTTATCCGTAGCCCAAAGGGACCTTGCTACAGGAGGTGACATTTTTCTTTAAGAAGAAAAACCCCAACTGGTTTGCATGGCAAAGCGTTAACACTGTGATTGTTAAACTGAGGAGACCTATACACGGGGCCGATTATTCTAGTCTCCCCTTTTGTTTAGGTTTGGAAATTTTTGTACTAAAAAGCAAGAAAACAAAAATCCCAATCCCAAAGGACTTATTTGCAAGATGGAGTTAAAGAGAAGTAGTCAGAAAAGCACTCGTACCGAACTTCTCGTGAGCTTAGAATTTTGCGGGAGAGGAGCTGTTGGGGAAATGCTTTGATTTTCCATGAGGGACAGAGTTAGGGGGAGACTGTATTTCTATATACCTTATCACTTTCTGATGGCCAGATGGTCATGGACAGGAACCGTATGGCAATGACGGGCAGCAAGCACACCGCAACGGTCAAGATGATGGTCAACCAAATGTACGGCTGTCTCAGGGCGTTGGAAGCTGTGCCTGGAGAGAGCGCGAAGAATGAGTCACACTGGCCCTTCCATCCCAAGGCCACAGTGAATAGTCAATGGTCCCCACATGGATTATTTATGGCAAAGATTTACAGCCAGACTGGCCTCCCTAAGACATCATCCCATCACTGCTCAAGAAATGGACATTTTAAAATCATTTTAAGCAAAGCAAAATTGGGCAAATTCTTTGGAACAAGGTAAATGTATATAAGTGAGCACAAAACCTAAGGGAAAAAAACAAAAGCACGTTTGCATTGATCATTAATAAAAATGCAAAATGAGGCAATAGATTTTTGAATTTTTTCATGAATTTAAAAAAGCACTTTCCAACTTATAGTTTTGGTTTGAAACGCCAAATATTAGTAATGAAAGCTAGCACAGCCAGTACCAGGTGTTTCATAAAGATCATGTCATTCAATCAGTTCTGAGAGGTGTGCATTATCCTCTGTGCCAAAGAAAGAAACTGAGTTTTAGAGAAGAAATTTGCCCAAGGTAACAAAACTAGCAATGGCAGTGCATGATTTAAAATCCACTTCTGACTGGCGCCATGCTTTTCCACTGCAATTTGGTCTCTGAGTTTTTATGTCAGAAGTTGTAACAATTGAATTCTATATAATATGATCACATAAGTATAGTTTTGAAAATTGTTAGTGTATATGATTATCTTCTAGAGACAAATTTATCACAATGTTTTCTGTACTTACACTCTTAAGTATGTAAAAAATAATGGTCTTTATATTTCAAATGTGATGTTTACACTGCTAAATGTGCATGGAATTACAAAACACTCCCTGTGAGAATATTCTAAGTAACCGAGTACTACATTTTTAAAACAGAATCACGAAAGAAGAAAATCATAAAAAAAAATGAGCTCAATCCCAGGAAAAGGGTTACCACAGCAACTATCTTTTACAACTCAACAACTGGTCATAAAAAGCCTAATCTTTTACAGAAAAACCAGTTTATGGGTTTGTTTTTTCCATTGTGAATCCAAACTCTCAATTCAAAATAAGATTCTTAAAAATTCTAGTTCATATTTAATATTTATGATATTCATTCATATTCTAATATTCATCATATATTTCAGTTATAATTGTTGGTCACATTATTTTGTTTTCCATCAATTTACTTGTTCTCCAGACATATTTCCATCCAGCAGTCCCCAACCTTTTTGGCACCAGGGACCGGTTTCACGAAAGACAACTTTCCCATGGACTGGGGGTACGGGGACCATGGGAGGGTGGTGGGGGTGGCCCGGAGCTCAGGCAGTGATGTGTGGCCCATTTCCTAATGGGCCATAGACCAGTACTGCAGTACAGATGCATTTTGTAGTTTGATTAGCCAATTTAATATATTAGGTCTTCAGATTACTTCTATTTTTTCCCCTGTTTTTTACAATTAGAAATGTGGTGGTGGTGTAGTCTTTTTACACATTACCTTACCAAAATTTGGTGTGTTTTATCTCAAGGCATTTTCCCCAAGTGGAAATACCTGGCTGAAATGTACGAAAAGATTTACAGTCCGTTATGCATTTTCAGATAGTGTTTTGCCAAGATGAAACTATACTACTGTGTTACCAGCAATACATGTATACTTTTCCAGTAACCTAACAATAGGCTCTATGGGAAAAAAAGAAAAGGCTTTTACACGTAGGTTTTTTAAGCCATAAGTTATCTAACACAACAGATGCACAATTGTATCTTATATCTTAACTTGCTTTCTTCCCACTCACGTTACTATACTCCTAACCCACTATCACCATTTAGTTTCCAGTTAAGACAATTTTCGTTAGCAATAATTTTATACCGTGTTTTACTTACCTAGAAGTTATATCAAAATCTAAACTAATGAAATTGATCTGTACATTTTTAGAATTTAGAAAATACCAACCTGTAAATTGAAAGGCAGATGGAAAGAGAACATGTATTCCAGCACTATGAAAGTCAAACATGATGCCAAAATAAAGTGCAATGCTTCCAAAAATTGAAAAAGCATTCACAAAAGTCCAATAAGAAGTATCCAAGCCAATCTGTTGGGAAACCAGAGAAAAACAGAGCATTCATTTTGGGGAGTTAGCAAGAAATTAAGAATTCAGCAACTTAATGCATGATTTGGCTTGAACAATCAGAAACCAAACCATCTTTGACTCAGGCAAGAAATAGGAAAGGTGCTTGGTGGAAGGCACTGGTCCCCAAACCTTTTTGGCACCAGGAACAAGTTTCATGGAAGACAATTTTTCTAAGGAGGGGTGGGGAGGGAGGGAATGGTTTTGGGATGATTCATATGCGTTATATTTATTGTGCAGTCAAACTTCTTTGCTAATGATAATCTGTATTTGTGGCCATTCCCCAGTGCTAGCTCTCATAAGGATTGTGCAACCTAGATCCCTCGCTTGTACAGGTTACAGTAGGGTTCTCACTCCTATGAGAATCTAATGCCCCTGCTGATGTGATAGAAGGCGGAGCTTTTACAGTGACGTGAGTGACGGGGAGCGGCTATAAATACAGAGGAAGCTTCTCTGGCCTGCCTGCTGCTCACCTCCTGCTGTGTGGCCTGGTTCCTAACAGCCCAAGGACCACTACCAGCCCGTGGCCTGGGGGTGAGGACCACAGTTTAAGGGATGAAAATAGCATTCCTATTTTATAAAGTGGCAGAGGTGGATTAGGAGTCAGGTGGATGTACACGCCAGCCCCTGTACAAAACAGCAGGTACCAACAGACACTGAATACAGTCGCTGAAAGCCACGTACCTGGAAATTGACTGTTATTACAAGAGCAGAGGCAATGGTGACAGCAAAAGACTGGTAGTCAGATGGCGCCTCTCCGTCCTGCCCCACGGTTTGCAGATAAGCTCCAAGAGGTATGAAGAAGAGGATCATTGACGTCAAGATCCCGTGCAACAAGCTCACGAAGAATCTCCTATAGTTGAACAGTAAGTCTCTTTGTCCCACTACGTATAACCCGGGGAATCGGAGGCTCAGTTTGTCACTTACGTCCTTAAAGAGAAAACAAAATTAGAGTTGTATATCATCCATCACATCAAAGAAGTTGGAGATATGTTACAATTTATATCCCACAAAGAGTTGCAACTTGCTAGAAAGTTTTAGGAAGGAAAAACTGAACTAGAGGATCATTCCTGCAATTTTTCTGTGTGCAGACATCAATCTCATTGCTTTAGCTCACCATTACTTCAAATTTAATTCAGAGAAAGGCTAGGTAGTTTCTTATTCGCTACTTATGGAAGGAAAACAAATAAGTTTATTATTTTGCTACTTCTGGAAAGAAAAATTAGTAATGTCAAAATATAGAGAGGGAGGCTATTTTTACCTCCTGAAAGATTATTGTAAATTCTTGGGGAAAAATTTTTCTCATATAAGCTGATGAGTTAATGCTAAATTATTTTTATTCAGTACAACACTCTAAGAATTACTAGTAGATAAAAATATAGATTAATTTGGGAATGAAACGCATAAGTTTTGGAAAATATTATCTCTATAATTTACACATTTTAAAAGTAAATTTTAATGAGTCCCTCAGGAGTCTTAACAGTAAGGTCTAGTGTCTAAAAGGAGCATGGTAGACACTTTTGTCGATGAATTCAACTCAGACACAGAAATCCTCTCCCCTCCCCCCCCCCATGGGTCTCATTATGCTGCCCAGACTGGACTCGAACTCCTGGGCTCAAGCGATCCTCCTGCCTCAGTCTCTCAGTAGCTGGGGCTACAGGGACATCCTCTTTTCTTATTGTGAAACAAGCAGCCCAGAAGTTACCCTTGTTGCCTGACAACAGAATTATCATAGGGTTTACTCAGAAAAAAGCAAAACCTAGAAGGCAGCGTTGGAACGCTTGCTTGTAACTTCTCTAACAGGCGCTCAGCTGTCCAGAAGCTTCCCTCCCAGCGAGGCGCCTACCTGGTCGAGCAGCCCCATGAGCAGCACAGGCAGGCTGGAGTACAGCACGTTGTAGAGGGTGATGAACCAGTCCTCGTACGCAGTCTGTGAGGAGGTGACAGAGGCTCCGTGTTACCGATAAAGACGAATGCCAGCCTGGCGGACACACATTCACCTGCTTTCTCAAAGCAGGGACGTCCCCAGCTGAGTGAGGGCTTCTCCTGCCTGAGTAAACACCCTTTGTCTACACCTCTAGAAAACATGAGTTTGTTCCTATGGAACAGGCAGAGTCATAGACCTTTTTGCAGAACTTAATCCCCCAGCCCTGACCCAGAATAAGTCCGGGGAGATATACTCCAAAAGGTTTAGTAAGAGTCTATTCTACTTGAATAATGCTGGAAAACAAGTCAGTGCTCATCGTTTTTATACCCCTTTATTAATGGTTTAGAATATGGAAAATTGTTTCAACAGCATGTAAGTACTGTTAAAATATTTTTTAACTTTTATTTTGCAGGGCCAGCATTTTCATGAAAATATTTTGTAAAACAGAATTTGACTGAATATAAAAAATATGCTTCTGAAGAAAAGAAACACCACTGTGCACACATCATTCCCTAGCGTGGGGTGGACGAAAGGGGATTACTCAGGGACAAGAGTTATGCACGGCCCTGCGCAGAAACAGGACGATGGCCGGGACCCTGCTTGAAGTCTCTCCTGGCCCTGATTCCGGAGACACCATTTGTCTCTGGCATCGCATCCAAGAAGGTTCCACAAACCCAGGCACTGACGTAGGTCCATGTTTTATGTATGTTAACTCTTCTTCTGCATTGCCATTTTAGCATATTAGATATGCCCCTTGCTCTCATTTCAGCAAAAACAAAATAACAAATGGAGACATGATAATAGAACTATATGACATCCACAATTTATATAATCTCTTTAGCTTTGGTCACAATATAATTTTCTACTTTCACAGTTAAACAGTTTGTAAATGCTATTCTTTTTTTTTTTTTTTTTTGAGACAGAGTCTCGCTTTGTTGCCCAGGCTCCAATGAGTGCCGTGGCGTCAGCCTAGCTCACAGCAATCTCAAACTCCTGGGCTCAAGCAATCCTGCTGTCTCAGCCTCCTGCGTAGCTGGGACTACAGGCATGGGCCACCATGTCCGGCTAATTTTTTCTATATATATTAGTTGCCCAATTAATTTCTTTCTATTTATAGTAGAGATGGGTCTCCCTCTTGCTCAGGCTGGTTTTGAACTCCTGAGCTCAAGCAATCCTCCCGCCTCGGCCTCCCAGAGTGCTAGGATTACAGGCGTGAGCCACCGCGCCCAGCCTGTAAATGCTATTCTTAATGGCAAAGTAACATGGAAAAACAATCTAAGATGAAGACATAACCAAATACCCCCCTTTCTAAGGCAAAATAAAATGTTTTGAAAGCACCAGAAACATTTTATAAAAGTCATGGTCTTACTTCACCATGCCCCGACTTTAAGGAGATACAGGACCATAACTACAAATATAAAAGAAAGAAATTGTCTTTTCAGAACTAGAGTGTTATTCATCTAAGAGCTCTATACCCAATAAAAAAATAAGTGAATAATGTTATATTACCTGTGCAGAGTAGCCATTGAAGAAGGAGTACCAGAAATGAACCAAAGTAAACGCAAAGTTTTTGTAAAAGAAGTAGCGCAGGAACTTGCACATTCTTATGTAAGACCAGCGCCCATGCACCAGCAGCAGCCTCTGCAGATACCGGAACTGAGCGAAGGAGTAGTCACTCGACATGACGGCCTGCATTCCTTCTTGTCCACTGATCCCAACGCCAATGTGGGCAGCTATGGGACGGAGGAAGCATACACACGCTATGGATCACAAGCTGATTTTAAGGCAAATCATCAGATGATAAAAAGCAAAACAGAAAACAAAGACACACATTCATGGAACGATAAATCCAAAAGCTCTTGGTCACCATCCCTCGCCCCTAGCTCCTGAACGCAACTCAAAGTTGGAATTACAAGTTGTTGAACAGAGCACACATGGTAGGGCCTCCATAAATATTTGTGAAAGGATCTCACATGGGTGGTGAATTCCATTTGAATTATCTGCCCAGCTCGTAAGCCATCTCCTTTTACCCACAGGGTGAGCCCCAGGCACCCATGTGTAGGCCATGGCCCTGCCTCCTGGGCCACAGCTGCATCAGCCTCGGGCAGATACGTAATCTGCGGTAGATACTACAGACTGGCTCCCTCAATCTTCGTTCCACCCTTGTTCTCATTGGAGAGGTGGGAAAGCAAAAACCCTGTATTTCCCAGACTCCCCTTGCAGCCAGGTTCTCTTTGTGAGTTAGGCTGTACTGTTTAGATTCACTTGTAACTTGGAAGCAGAAGTGAATCAGAGCCCAGCATCCCTTCCCTTTCTGGCTTTTTTGCAGCCAAGTCTGCATCCAGCTGCCCAGATGTTGATAGGCAACTGCAAAGGCTTCTCCATGGAGCAGCTATTCAGAGGAATCTCAAAGGTAGAAGCTCTTCCTGTGAGCCACCCAGAGGTTAGAGACTCAGCTTAGAACCTGCTTCTTTGGTCCATCCAGAGCTTTTGAAAGTACCTAGTCCCCTGTATTAATCAATTCCTGTTTAAAGTACTCACAAGGGGTTCGTTTCCTATGCTAAACCCTGAGAGAAAACCCTAGCTGGTCCAGTCTCTCTTGATAGTCTAGAATTAGGATGCAGATGTGTTTGTAACTGGAATTTTACTGTGTATATTTTGAGGTGTGGCATGGATATATTTCTTTCTGAAGAGTTCTGAGGGGTAGAGAAATAGAGCAGGAGAGAAAGAGAGGGAGAAATAGAGAGGAGATAGAGACACACACAACTGGGTTCCTGGTACAACCCTAGGTCCTGGTTCCAGCATGTTCCAAAGGCCTGGCTTGGGCAGGAGACATCTTTGGATATTTTTAAAGGGATTATTTTATTCTTAAGCTAGCTTTGCTTGTTCTCCAATATTTGTAATTCAAGGAATTTTAACTAAGATACAATTAAATTTTCAAAGGCTTATTCATGGCCCTCCATGACCTTAAGATAATTTTATCTGGAAGTTTTCCAGAGTGGGTAAAAATTAAGGTCACAATTTTATTCATCCTTCCAATAGTCAATAGTTTCAAATTAGACAATTATAAATTTTGAACGTAAAGACAGATAATGAGATCTTTTAAGAAAATGTGTTGGAGAACATAACCTATTATTACTCAGACCCCGAGAAGTGACTGCCAACTCATCAGAGTTTCCCACTAAAAAGAAGCTTCAAAAATCCGGCCCTAGTAACAGAACACAGGGTCTGGCAAATTCAAAACATAATTGTTGGAACGTAAGTTTTCAATAATAATTTGCAGTTCTAAAAAATAAAACAAATTACATCTCATTCAATATTTATGATCATTTTTAAAACACAGATAGTTCTTATGACCAGCTGTGGTTGCCAAACTGCTCTTTCCTACCAAACCGTGGCCTTGTTTCCTGAATACGCCACAGAGGGAACTGTTGAGATTCTCTCGGTGCTGAGGGCTGAGGAAGAGCCCAGGCCTGGTATCCAGTCCTTCACCCATTCTGCTGAGCAGACCAAGGACAATATGTAAAATGAACATTGTCATGGTTCCCAGGGTGTGTGAAGGTAACTAAACACATAATTGTAAAGCAATATTTGTTTTTTTTCTAAAATCTGAGTTATAAGCACCTAGATTTTCTTGAAGTTGCAAATATGGTGACAAATACCTCATCTGTAGGTACTTCATAATCCTTAACAAAATGATTATTGCATCAATATAGCAATAATCTCTTTTGCTTTTATCTCTTCTCTCATGCTTCATGTATATTCCCAGGGTCTAAGACCAAGAAGAGGTAACGCCCACCTAGCTGGTATGAGACAGCTTCAGGCGCGAGAAGGGGCAGCCTATGACAGTCGTTGGCTCCTTGCTGGGGCAAAAACGTGGCAGGTCACAATTCCCTCACTTCCATAGACTACACTGCTAAACAGGAAGCATGTTAGCAAACGGTCAGATTGTTTTTGACAGCTGAATTTCACTCTACTACTTTACGGCTACCCAAAACAATTTCTTTCTGTATATTGTTCTTGATGTCGTTGAAAGAGATGACAGCTTTTACAAAGTACGAAAAGGCACTAATGCTCCTTAGATGACTTCCAAGGAGACCTCAGGGTTGCCGTCATTGTCATCCCAAATGGATGCTCTGCAGTTATATTTATAAAAGCACCTGGCATACAACACAGCTCAATAAAAATTTTAAAGCAACTAAAGAAGAGCAAGCCTCTACAAAGTTATTTATGTTGACTTTGTGCAGTCCCTCTCGCTATCAACTGGTGAGCTCGGAGGAACAAAAAGTTTCAAGTTTAAGTCACATGATCAGACGGTAAATCTGCAAAGCAAGCCACCTCCCCCCAACATCTAGAAGTCTCTATCATAACTGTATAAAAATAACATTTGAGTTCCTTGCCCCTTTGAAACAGCTTGTTCTATTAAGGGTATACAGTGGAAAATAAACTAGAGCTGCCTAAAGAAGAAAGAGAAATCTAATTCAGAGCAAGAAATGCCATTCGTAGGCTAGGACAAGCACACGCAAAAAACAGCGGGGAGGAATTAAACTGGCAGTGGTGACAGACATATGCACTGATAATAAAAAAGCAAGAAGACATACGTCATACAGCTGACTCCTGTTGAGGAAGATAAAGTTGGAATATTCTTAGTATATATCGAGGAGGAGGAGACTCTAAGAAAAGAAAGAGATGGACTCATGAGTCACATAATAGGTTGAATTAAGTCTAGTTGTATATAATGCATTCAAACTACCCAGCACTACAGGACGTGGATGTATAGTCATGTCATATTTCATCTTAACAGTAATGATATCACAGAGCTGGAGGTGACACTGGACATAATTTTCTTATTTTCAGATGAGAAAGCTGAGGCCTGAGCATAAGTCCAGGGTGACACAGGATGTTGGCAATAAGATGGGGATAAATGTGCAGGTCTCGTTAGTTTGGATATTTTGATTACAAGATACTACCTTATAGTAATATAATAGAGGGGGAGGTAAAAGGACCAGGACTCAGACACAGAGATGAGGCCCCCAAGTTTGGTTCTGCATGATACGACTCAACCCTTTAATTGTAGGGACCTAGGGACCTCCGTCTAGCAACTTTCTGGCAGCCTTCTAGGGTGGTCAGAAGGATGGATGGTGAGACGTGGAAACTTTACTTCAGTGCTACACGTTTCTCAAAAGCTCACACCAGGTGACCTAATGGTGAAGTTCCAACCGATTTACCAAAAGCAAGAAGAAAGGCCCAGAAAGAGGCCTAGGTGAGGAACAATGATATTGTCAAAGCAATTATCAGAGAAAGTGCAACAATTTAGGCTGAGCTCAGCAGAATGTTTTGTAAAACTTATTAAGTATCAGAGTTTTTAATAAGCCCTAAAGAAATATGGGAGGAGAACCAGTCAAAGGGGGGAAAAAATCAGATGTATTTAAAAGGAGGAAACAAATACAGATAAATCCACATACAAAGAGTTCATCTTCTACGTGGCATCTATGAGGACCACTGTTAGGCCTGCCCTTTCCTCCCGATGAAGGGGGGACTTCCTGGGAGAAGGGTCACAGGCTGAGTCCTCATGGTTAAATGCTTTTTATTAAATGTCTGCCTCCCAAGTCAAGGACCCTGCAAAAACCATCCCATGAACGTCCCTGTCATTTCTCCTCTCTAGCGAGTTGGGTCTCACTGGCCGTGTGTGCACCACTCACTTTTGATCATGTTCACGTCGTTGGCGCCGTCTCCGATGGCCAGCGTGATGGCCTTCTTGTACCTCTTCACCAGGTCCACCACCATGGCCTTCTGCTTGGGGGTGACGCGGCAGCAGATGACGGCGCTGCACTCGCAGGCCAGGTCCACGAAGTTCTTCTGCCGCTGCTCTTTCTTAGCTTCCAGCCTTCTTTTGCTTTGCGTCCGCATCCGTCTTTCCTCCTCTGTCCTTGGGAACTTCAGATTCAGAATCTTACTTCTCTTGGTCTTCTTCTCTAGAAGAATCTCATTCTGTGAAATCGGAGAAGGAAGGGATTCCAGTCATTTTTACTTTTAACACCAAGAGCACCACGACCAAGGTTTCAATTCTGTGAAGGATAATTCCGTGAAGGATATATCATGGGTTATATAAATATGTTCACAACAAATCAACTGATTGTTATACAATCAAAATGTATTTTTTTTGAGACATGTCTGTTTTGCCCATTTTTAAATTGATCTTTTTCATTGTTGAGTTGTAAACATTCCTTATATATTCTGGATATAAGTTTCTTTTTTTTTGAGACAGAGTCTCACTTTGTTGCCCAGGCTAGAGTGAGTGCCGTGGCATCAGCCTAGCTCACAGCAACCGCAAACTCCTGGGCTCAAGCGATCCTCCTGCCTCAGCCTCCCGAGTAGCTGGGACTACAGGCATGCGCCACCATGCCTGGCTAGTTTTTTCTATATATATATTAGTTGGCCAATTAATTTCTTTCTATTTATAGTAGAGACAGGATCTCGCTCTTGCTCAGGCTGGTTTTGAACTCCTACGACTCGAGCAATCCCCCGCCTCGGCCTCCCAGAGTGCTAGGATTACAGGCGTGAGCCACCACGCCCGGCCAAAATGTATTTTCTGATACATGTTTATGACAAAAATTTAGAAAATGCAAAAGTCTACAAAGAAAATGAAATTTACTCAACCAGGAAAACCACTTTTACCAATTTGGTATAATTCCTTTCATATATCATATAATATTAAGTCTCAAACTTGGAAAGTCATAGTTTAATTTATAGGCTAAGAGATTCTGAGGTTGGCAGTTAATATGCAAAACCATCTAAAACGGGTTCAAAAGGAATTTCTTTTGTTTGAGTCAAGGCACAGATTGAGCCTCCAAGGGTACATACCAGCCAAGAACCAGTGATGATTAAGGCGCGGTTTCCGCCAGCCGGGAAAAAGGGTTCATGCACAGGAGGTGCAAATTTTGCATAGACTCCACCTCTATTTCTCTGGTTTTCCATCCTCGTGTGAATAAGAGAACTTGGGGGAAAAAAATTTAAGTGTTTAAAATATAAGACATAAACAGTCCCTTGAAGCTACGAATTCTGACATTATTTTAAATTGTGGCAAAAAATGGCTAACATGACATTTTAAAAAAATTGTTTGTTTTTTGGACACAGGGTCTTGCTTTGTTGCCTGAGCTAGAATTCAATGGTGTTATTGTAACTCACAGCAACCTCAAACTCTTGGACTCAACTGAGCCTCCTGCCTCAGCCTCCTAGTAGCTCGGGCTACAGGCACACACTGCCATGCCTAGCTAATTTTTACATCTTTTGTAGAGACAGGGTCTTGTTATATTGCTCAGGCTGGGTCTCAAACTCGTGGCCTCAAGTGATCCTCCCACTTCAGCCTCCCAAAGTTCTGGGATTACAAGGTGTGAGCCACCACACTGGGCCTGATAACATAAAATTTATCATCCTAACCATTTTTAAGTGCATAGTTTAATAGTGTTAAGTATATTCACAATATTGTGCAACCAATCTCCAGAACTTTTCCAACTTATAAAACTGAAACTCTATATCCATTAAACAACTCCACCTGGTCTCCTCCTTCCGGTCCCTGGTAACCTCCATTCTACTTTCTATGTCTATGAATTTGACCACTCTAGATACTTCAAACTATGTGGAATCACACAGTGTTTGTCTTTTTGTGACCCACTTATTTCACTTAATAACATCCTCAGGGTTCATCTATGTTATAGCATATGTCATAATTTCCTTCCTTTTTAAGGTTGAATAATATTCCACTGTATGGATACACCACATTTTGTTTATCCATTTATCTATCAGTGAACACTTGGGTTGCTTCCTCCTCTTGGCTGTTGTGAATAGTGCTGCTGTCAACATGGGTATGTATGTATATCCAGACCCTTTCAATTATTTGGGGTATATACCCAAAAGTGGGATTGTTGGATCATATTGCAATCCTAAAAGTAATCCTTTTATTTTTTTTGAGGAACCGTCATACTGTTTTCCACAGTGGCCACACCATTTTACATTCAACAGTACACAAAAGTTCCAATTTCTCCATAGCTTCACCAACACTTGTTATTTTCCAGTTTTGTTTTTTTTGATAGTAGCCATCCTAATGGGTACGAGGTAATACCTCATTGTGGTTTTGATTTCTATTTCCCTAATAATCAGTGATGTTGAACATCATTTCATATGCTTATCAGCCATGTATATATCCTCATTGGAGAAATGTCTATTCAGAGTGCTTTGCCTGTTTTTTAATCAGCTGACATATAATTTTACTAAGTCTTGATTCTTCCACCATGCAAGCACCATGCTCTTGGTACTTCATTATTTTTCAAAGACAGCCAAAGGAAGATACAGTTGAAAATGTATACACAAGCAACAGAAGGCAGGCAACCTTGATCTGGATTATAATACACTAGGGTGAACCCTACTTTACCAGCTACTGTTTGGCAGAAAGAAACTTGTTTCTACATTAACAAAATTATACCTGCTTTTGAGAAATTCTCAGTGCTTTGTATCAAGTTATTGAGAAGACCACACACATTAATAACCCTTTCATGTGATAGAAAAATGAGTCATGAAATTTTGCAGTAGAAGGAACTTTAAATATCTTTTATTTTGTTTTCCTTTGTGGAGACAGAATCTTGCTCTGTCACCCTGGCTAGAGTGAAGTGGCATCATCATAGCTCACAGCAACCTCAAACTCCTGGGCTCATCAAGCCATTCTCCTGCCTCAGCCTCCAGAGTGGCTGGGACTACAGGTGTGTGCCACCATGCCCGGCTCATTTTTCTATTTGTCTGTAGAGACAGGGTCTCGCTCTTTCTTGGGCTGAGGACCTTATATATCTTGTCTAATCTCTTCATTTTACACAAAGAAGGAAATCAAGCCAGAGAGAGGTGATGTGATTTGCCTGCAGCAGGTTGATAGGAAAACTGGAATGAGGACTCAGTTTCCCCTAACTCCCTGCCCAGGACTCTTCCTATTAAACACAAACAGCCATTAATCCTCACCTTCAAAAGCAAGCTTCTCAACCTTGGCACTACTGCTGTCGGGGGCCAGGTAATTCTTTGTTATATGTGGCCATCCAGTGCATCGTAGGATGTTTAGCAGCTTCCCACTGGAAGTCAGTTTCATCCCTCCTCCCCACACACAGCCACCAAACATGTCCCCAGGGATTGCCCTATGTTCGCTGGAAGGTAAAATCCACCCTCCTCCCATTGAGAACCATTGTACTAGAGGATTAAGTATCTAGTATCCTTTTCTCCACATTAATTTAATTCTCATTTTCAAGTTGTAAGACAAATCATTAAAAGGCTGAAGGAGATCAAGAATAGTTACCTACGCAAACCGTTTTGTAGAAATCATTTCAGGAACCCTCTAGAAAGATGATTCATCTCTCTATAAAGGTAAACTTGGCTAAGAGCATGATCATAAAATTTACTACTTGCATAAATTGTTTAATTTAGCTTGGGGCACAACTTTCAAAAGAGACCAGAAATTTATTAAAGCCCCATCCACAAGAAGTAAACAAAACCATATGGTAATTAACCAAATTACTGGAAACCGAAATCTACTGAAGTAAACATGTTAAGCATTTATTTTTCTATTGCTACTTTTTAGAAACCTAAAAGTGCAAAGGAGTCTGAGGTATGTGCCGCTATACAAACAGAACTGGGTTAGATTCTAAGGCTGATGATTTTTTCCGAGTTAGCAGAGAACTGATATACTGGAAGGACTCGCAAAAGCTTATCGTCATCATTATAAAGACAACTAATAACCACCATTAACTCCCTCATCATCTCAGCAGCCCCCGCAAGTGTGTATGTTAACAGCTTAATGTGACCTCGTGACAGCCAGGGAGAAGTTTTGTAAGGAAAAAGCTTGAAGAATAATTGGAACTTTTAAGCCATCAGTTAAACACTTGATGGTAACTGCATGCAGCACGTTTCTGGCTTCGTAACAAGATAGGGCTTACTCACTACACATGTCTAGGCCTGCTGCAACCCTGATTCCAAGCTTCCAAATGTTTCAGCACAAGCCAAGGTTGGAAATGTCAGGCCTGCCCCATCTAGACCAGACCACAGACGACATACACAACGTAACCCCCCAAACATTTCCTCCTGGGCCAGCGTTGGTTTTTTTCTTCCCCTTCTATTTCTTTCAAAAGTTAAAATTCCTAGAAAAAGCAAACCATGAATATAATTCATATTAATTTGCTAGTGATATCACATGCTCACTTTCTTTTGCAGTAAGCGAGGATGTTGGACTTTTAAGGAATGGAGAAAAATGGCCCCCGAAAGGCCTCAAGTTTCCTTAAAACTAAAAATCTGTCCAAAATAAGGCCAAAACTCGATAACTTGGAACTGCCTGCTGTTCTCTTGCTTCATTTAAACTTGAGGACACTGTCCCAGGTGACATATCGTAGCTCCTATTTCTCTGCATCTGTTGCCTTCTGCCGCTAGCCTTGGCTTTGTGAGAAAGAGCTGTGACATCATCACAGGCTGCAGGCTCTTCACTTACTTGATATCTTCCCCGTAGCAGATAGTGGTGTCTTCAGTCAGAAGTTCACAAGCAAATCCTATATTTTCGGCAGTTTCTACAATAGAATAAAATTAAGTCAAATGTTGTTTGTTCCTACTGTTGAATTGAATAATTGACTTTATCTAGTTCTGATGCTTTTCCCCCCAATTCACAAATATAACCAGATTCAATCAAATATGCTGTTTTTCCATAGCATGTACAGAAATCACACACCGAAAAAAATCGTTTTCTTTATAATAAGTGAAAGTCAAAGTCTGGTTTGAGATGTGTTTAATAATAAAATGTGCTACGTTATCAAATATATAAACTGGTTATTTACTAAATCTATGTTCATTACTAAATACACTTGGTTCATGTGGTTTAATCTGTTACGGTGAAAAAAAATAAAAATTTCTATCAACCCTCATACAAAGATATTCCCCCCCTTTTTAAAATTAAAACTCATTTGGTATTTATTTACAGTCAAGGCTGTGCTTGCCTTAACTTCACAGAGTGTATAACCCATTGATGATTTTAGAGCAATCATCAAAGATTTTAGAGCTTATTTCTTGTGGAAGGCATGCGGAGTAAAGTATCAATGCCAAATAACTACTTGTTAACCTCTAAATTTAACAATTAAATTTTCTTAGGTATTAAATTTTAACTATAATTTTCAGGTGATCAAATGGACAAGAAAACAAAAGTTGCTTTTCAGCACTTTGTATTATTCTACACTATGCCCAACAAATGGCAAAGCACTGGGAGGACAGAGGGACCAGGGGGTGGCCCTTTCAGGACAGAAGCCCATGTAGGGCTAGAGAGATAAGATCAATCATAATCAGCCAACACCTAAGTGGATATATAGGAGTAACATTTATCGGGCGTCGGGAGGGTGGGAGGGGGGAGGAGGGGATGGGTATATACAACCACAACGAGTAAGATGTGCAACGTTTGGGGGATGGACATGCTAGAAGCTCTTACTTGAGGGGGGAGGGGGGCATGGGCAATATAAGTAACCTTAACACTTGTACCCCCATAATACGCTAAAATAAAATTTAAAAAAAAATTACTAAAAAAATCATAATCAATAATCAGCAAGACATGGCCAGGAGCTAAATTATAAGGAAGAAACTGGTAGTGAGGGAGAGATAACATCTTCTTTCCAAAGAAATAGTGTTTGAATAGGATGGCAAGTTACAGAAGGCCATTTCAGACAAGGTAAACAGCAGCTATAAACATTTGTGAATTAACAGATATGCTTCCCTACACAATGAATTACCCTTTTTGTCTCCAGTAAGCACCCAGATCTTAATGTCAGCTTTTGCAAGTTTTGAAATGGTTTCTGGGACGCCATCTTGTAGCTTGTCTTCAATAGCTGTAGCTCCTAATAGCTGGAATGTACATTTTTAAAAAAAGGAATTAGCAAATAAACCAAAAGTTTTCTATGCTTACAGTTTGCCAACCTGGAAAAAGAAGGGCTAATTATACACCCTGGGGTTGGTGCTCTACTGGGGCCAACAGCCAGTGTTGACAGGGGAGGCTGCCATGTTTCCCATTCAACACAAACCAGCACAACTAAACACTTTTTTCTTAAAGGATGAACTATTCAATTTACCAAGACAAACATGCAAGTACAAAATCAAGGACACTAAAAATATACTTTCCATGTGTATTTGTGGCTTTATACAGACATAACCCAGTTCCAATACTAGCTATTTGTTGAACATTTCCCATTGATCTAAACCCTGTGAGCATTAGGTATTAAATTTTGAAAATTTAGAAAGGGTATATTTTTCATGTTTCAAGATTTTGCAAAATAGGAATTGTTTCAGTAATTCTCACAATGATAATAACTAGATGTAGGTTTGTCACAGCATAAAAATAATAATGAATTTTAATAAGTGATATAAAAATGACAGAATTACATTAGAACCTCTCCTAATGTTTTTTCTCTTCTGGTTTCTCATAATGGCAACTTCTGTTCTGCTATTTTGCTGAACAAAATAAATTTAAATGACCTACTTCCATTGTACCAATGCCAAATGCTGAGGTTAGAATTATCTTTCAAGCATGAGATCAAAATGTAATAAAATGTAATAAAGTTTTCAATTCTGTTTAGAATAGCAAGAAAAAATTATTAAGGCTAAAACTCACAATTAAGTCTTTTTCAATCTCCTCATACACTTTATCCAGAGCTTCATCCCGGTTGGTTGTGGCCACACTGGCAGCCATAAACTTTTTATTCCATTCTGCAAATTCTTTTTCTTCAATTTCCTTATAGCAAAGGCACAGGGTTCTGAGAGTTTCACTTGCAAAGATCTGTTTTATTAAAAAGACAATCCACCAATGCAAAGAATAGTTAATTTTATGTAATTCAACATTGAGTTTAAAATCTTCCTTCGAAGTAATATACTAAGAGTATTTAAAAAGAGGAAGATGATGGATTATATAAAAATATATTCTGCAAAGGGGATTAACCTCTACTGTATTACAGACTTTGTTTCTCTAAGCTTCTATGGGGTCCCAGGACTGTACTAGTTCCCAAATTAGTTAAAGGGAAAAGTCTACCTTTCTTCTATATCAAGTCACTAGAGTCAAGAAAACCATTTTCTCTTAATGACTAAGAAAATAACAAATGAAGTGAGCTGCCTTGCAGTATAATGATATAAACACAGATTTGACAACTTTATAATTTGTTCCAACAAACTGTGATACAAATATGATCAGCTATGAACTCTCAACCAAGCCGTATTCCCTCAAGCCAATTCAAAAATACATGAGCCATTGTTAAAGCTGAGGTCAAAAATTTTAATGAAAAAGGGTATCTGGAAATTTTCCAATGGTAACTAGATTTAAACCATTTTAAATAGCTTCAATATGAACCAGTAAAAATCTTTCATTACTTTATAGTCACATGTTATCTGGCTAAGACGGTAGAACTGGTTCAACCAACCAAGGTGTCTGCTTTCAAAGATTCTTTGGAAAGTTGTGCATTTATTTGGTTAGATTGTCATTGTTCACATCCTCGTGAGGACTCGTGCATTTTAACTGCATCAGTGTCAGCATATAATCTTAAAACGTGACCCCACTTAGTGAACAACCTATATATTCATCAAGCTTCTCTTCAAAAGATGTTTGGTTGGCTCTAAAACTCAATCGACCCTTAAAGCAAAAGGGAAAAATCACCCTTTATTAAGTATCTAATAAGTGCTAGGAACTGTGGAAGATGCTTTCTCTTGCAATAACCCTCCCCTGGGAGGAACTATCCCCTCTCTCTTTCACACGGAGAATTAATGATTCACATGATCTATCAACCATTTTCCCCAAGGACACAAAACTAGTAAAGAGGCAGTGTTGGGACACCAGGTCTGCCGATCTCCTCCATACCTCACTGCCATTGTTATACAGAGCCCAAAATGACATGCAGATTGGTAGGCAAATCCAACAAAAATAAAAGTTCCAAAAGCATTCTGAGTAGGTACAACCTCACTGGACTAGGTATACAGCTTCCTAAGATAAGGACTTTGAAGTCATTGAGACCAAACTGTTTTACTAACAAAGGTGCCAAAACTCAATGATCCAACGTGTTGCTTTGTCATCCCCTGTCATACACAGGTGCTTTCGTTCCTTCACTTTATACCTGCAAGTTAGTGCAGTTGTTGGGGGCCACACGGATGTCAAGACTACAGCTTGGTATGATTAGGAAGCTTGCTCAGCATTACTGGAAGAGAGGGAAGCTGCTCTGGCGCCTCAGTCCCATGTACCCTGTGCAGACCTGGATGCTGGAAGGAGCACTATGGTCACTTCCTGGAAGTCAGTGGCAAATGCAGAACTGGAACCCAGGTGGCCAGAGTCCTGCTTTGGCGGTTATTCTACCCAACTATGCCAAAGCAACTGTTAATATACAGCTTCCGCTCCGGCTTAAGAGATAGTACCAGCAAGTAAGATCAGAATCTCCAGCAGAAGAGTAAAAGTGAGACTTACATCCAAGGCATCCTGTGTTTCTTGCTTTGAAGGATTCATCTGATGTAACCGTTCATAAATTACAGTGTCAGCACCTTTACAATACAGCCTGATATTGCCTTCTGGGGTTCGTACTGGTAGCAAGGGAAGGAAAAGCACACAACAAAGGTTAAGCTTGATCTCTTAATAGAAAGCCACATTTATAAAGTTCATTTGAAGCATTGCTGTGCTCATAATCCACTATTAGCTTAAAATCATCAGTATGTCTAGAAAAGTGTTACCCTCATCACAAGTTGGTAAGTCCCTATGTACATTAAAGATAATAGTGAAAATATAGATGAAAAGATTCCCTCCAATCAGCTTGGTTTTCCATACCTTTATTTTTCCAACAAATATTTACTGACTATGCCCTGCGCTGGCTACTTTCGTCCAGAGTTTCCTTTGTGCATGCCAACCACCAGGAATCTTTTTTATGAACTCACAGCTCTTACTGCCTTTAAAACTCAGATCATAACCACTCCTTATGACCATCTCCTTGTATTTTTTGACCTATGCTATAATTTAATCATAGTATATGCCTCACCACTAATTGGATTTTAAGTCAAGGTAGATGGCAGGCATGGTAATTAGTCTAGGTCTGTATGAGGGACATGGAAAGCACTCAATAAAGTGTGCCTAATGACAGTGATACAGACAGGACAGTTAAATCTATATATTTTTATTGGTTTAAAAATTCAGTATCATAGTGGAGAAGGCTTGTGGACACCACCTTAACCAAGTGATCAAAGTTAACATCCCTAATGAGACAAACATCACGTGCCTTCTGATGTGATATCTGGAGAAAGGCATGGCATCATTTATGGATCTTTCCTGCCAACAATGCATAACTCTGATCTAATCATGAGACACCATCAGACAAACCCAAATTGAGGGACATTCTATAAAATAACTGGCCCGGGTCAGGTGCAGTGGCTCATGCCTATAATCCTAGCACTTTGGGAGGCTGAGGTGGGAGGATCCCTTGAGGCCAGGAGTTTGAGACCAGCCTTGGCAACATAGCAAAATCTTGTCTTTACCAAAAAATAAAAATAAATAAAAAATTAGCCAATAGTGGTGGCGTGTGCCTATATTCCTAGCTACCCAGAGCCTGAGGCCTGAGGATGGCTTGAGCTCAGGAGTTCAAGGCTGCAGTGAGCTATGATTGTGCCATTGCACTGTAGAATGGGCAACAGAGTGAAACCCTGTCTCTGAAAAAAGAAAAATAAGATAATTTGCCTGTACTTTTCAAAATTGTCAATATATAAAATATTTTTAAAAAGGCTGCAGAACTGTGATTGATTCTGTCATGATCACCTGATACAACCTGCCATCTTGAATTAGATCCTGGATCAGAAAAACAGGAGGGAGGGAATTTCCTGGTAAAATTTGAAAAAGTCTGTAGACTACATAATACTGTACTGGGTTAAATTTTCAGATTCTGGTCGTTACATTGTATATACAAGTGGGTGTTCTTGTTCTTAGGAAACACCCACTACGGTATTTAAGGGAAAAGGGCATCAGGTCTGCAATTGACTCCCAGATGGTTCAGAAAACAAGCTGTGCAGATAATGAAGTTGACAGAGAAAATGTGGTAAAGGTTAACCATTGGTGGATATGAAAGAGTATACAGGAGTCCTTTAAACCCCCATTCTTGCCACTTCTGTGTAAATTTGAGATTTCAAATTATGAACTTTAAACAAATTCAATGCTAGGACGAGATCATCCTCTCTGCTTGGTGGTGTGTCATGTGCCTGAACTGGAGGTCTGATTTTGGTTCATAAGCACAGCCTCCTACATCTCAGAGACCCTCTCCTGCTGAGTCCTCCCTTCCCTGCCATTCAGCAGAGAAGTGCTCAGAGGGCTCAAAAATAAGAGACCACATGCCGTAGGCAGCATTGCAAACATCCACCTGCCACTTCAGGTGTGTTGCACCTGCCAGCCCAGACTCGGCAGCTGGTAGCCCAGGTGGTTAAAGAATGGCAACAGTGCCGGCAAGACTCAGATAGACCGCAGCTGTCCCTCTGGGTAAGGGAGATGGTGGAGAATGAAGAAAAAAATACCAGTTTCAATAAGTCTGTGGAAATCTCTTAGGAACCAAGTACTTCGTCCGTTGCCTGCTTTATCCCGGGCGTCGCTCAGTAAAACGGGCAAGAGGCAACAGGCAACATTTCAAGGAACGATGCACGGACGCGCTCCGAGGGAGACTTACTGATGATGGACATCCGCTTCCGGTCGCTGTTGAAGTCCAAGATGGCGAGGACGCTGTAGGTCCTCTCGGTGCCCAGCTCGCTGATGGTGATGGTGTTCTGGGTCCTGGCGAGGAAGGTGAAGCCGAAGTTCCTGGCCGCGCTGACCAGGGCGCCCTCGTCGGGAGAGGCGGCCTGGTAGTTGAGCTGACCTAACGAGGAAGCAGGACATAAAATGTAACCAAAATGTTTGTGCCCTCACAATATCCTGAAACAAACACACAAACCAAACCACAAAACAAAAAGAAAGAAAGAAAAGAAGAAAAAGAAAAAGAAAATCTCAGAAAGGCTGGAAAACCAAACTCAGAGCTCACCCCGGGTCCTCCGCCGAGGTTCCCACAGGGATTAGGATGTACAGCAAAGCCCAAAACAGAGCCAGGGAAACACGTCCTTGGCTGAGGGATTATGCCAAGATTAAGACTTCTTAAAGACTTGAAAGTTCTATTTTGAATTATAAACAGTCACATAAACTAAAACAACTGGCAAGAAAAAAATTCCCATGATCCCACCACCCCGAGGAAAAACCACTCTGTTGACATTTTATCATACCTTCCAGTCCTTTCAAAATGCCCATTTCTACTTTTCTTTATTCTCTTTTACAGTGCTAGTTGAACGCAAACAAGTCAAAGTGCCCATTTCTACTTTTTTTCTCTTTTACAGTGCTAGTTGAATGCAAACAAGTCAAACAAAATGCCCATTTCCGAAACAAGTTTCTATCATGCTGAATATACATCTACATCCTGATTATTTTAATGTATTTTGAGCATGTTGCCTTATCTTTGAAAATTCTTTATATATTTTAATGAATGTAAACATGTTACCATTTTCCCATTATAGGCACTTAGTTTAGATCCCAAGTATTTTGCTCTCAAAAATAACATTATAATAACCTGTGTGTGTACACGTGCAAAGATATTTCTGTCTCTAAGAACAGATTCCTAGTAGTGAAAATCTTGAGCTAGAGAACACAGATAATTTTTGAGCTCATTGATATATATTACTAATTTGTTTTCCAGAAAGGTTGTGCTAGTTTAACTTCCCTCTAGAAGGGTGTACTTACTTTACCATAGCTATATTCCCCTTTTTTAAAAAAAAAAGTAGTCCATTTGATCAATAGCTTGATGGAAAACTGCCTTCTGTTCACAACTACACTTCAGCGTTAAGAATAAATCTCACAATGTTGGCTGAAAGAAACCAGACACGGAAGAGTACATATTCTACGTGACTCTACTCACACAAACCAAAAACTAACAAAGTTAACCTGCGTTACACCAAGCCAAAAGAGCCGTTTACTTGGAAGGTAATCACTGGAAGGGAACACAGAAGAGACGTCTGGGAGATTGATAGAGTTCTTTCTTAAAAATCTGGGTGCTTATTACATGGGTATACTCAATTTGTAGAGATTCATTGACTATATATTTCTGTACACATGTTGTACTTTGATACAAAGTTTAAAAAAATACTCTGCATACCCAACAGCTTCTATTTTCCTCTGCTAGTTATTCTGCCTCAAAACAGAAAGAAAAAGCATTTCCATGGTCAGATGAATTTCTATAGAAAAGGGCATTTAGTTTTCCAGCATGGTTTGCCCAGGACGCAGGCCACGGCTCCCTGAGCAGCCTTTCACACCTCCGTGGATTTGGAATGGTGGCATGTGCCAGGGTGACCGGGGGCAGTGAAAGCTAAAGGCTCCGTCCTTCCCTACTTCCTTCACATGCTGGCTCAGATGATTCACTCTAATTAAGTCAGTATCAATCGCTTCCCAATAAATAAAGATGATACTTTAGATTGTCTATTTGTTCACACCAGAAAGTCACATACCAGAAGTTATAAATGTACTTGCTAAATCCAGCCATTCTCCAAACATACACGCGTGCCAGAGGGCAAACTATTTAAGCAAACTAAACAACAGTGAGAGCAAAGCCGATCCCTTCAGCGGCTGTAGCTGGTACGGTGGCGTATTGCATAACATCGACTGCAAACTCGTTTCCAACCGAGAAAAGAAACAAAATAATAAAAGGCAGTAGAGTTCCCATGAGTGAGACACTCATGTCTAAAGCAAACACCTTGACATTTTTATCACTGAAAAGAAATCCTTCTATTTCTTTCTAGCAGTGGAACCACAGAATAGCAGACTACGGAGATGGGAAAAACCTCACAGACTTGGTCCAAACTAACCCTGTTTGCAGGAAGGCATTTGGACTAAAAAACAATCTTCTGAAAAAAATCTTTACAGCACGCTTAGAGGCAACCAGAAAGACCTTTTCTTTTACAGACTAATTTGTGGATCATGAAACTGCTGCAAACAAAGAAGATGCTCAAACCACAAATGCTACCTCTTATCACCCCAATTCCCTGATACCACCAGCTTCAAAACAAGCTACCTTTCAGACACCTCTTTCCTGTCAATCCTCTTACCCTCTTCAAATAGTTTAGCTGATGCTACCCACATTTGTGGCTTTCTCATCCTTCCCCCAAACCCCACCCTAATCCAAGCCCTCAGCTTCCCCACTGACCTCCCTGGGACTTGTTTCCTGGCTCCAGGATATCACACCCAATGTGATGCGCAAACCTTCTAAAACAAGCTCTCTGATCACTGATTAAAGACCTCTGTCTTTAATCTAAGATGGCCCCAGTGGTGTACGTTCTCCTTCTCCCAGCTGTTCAATCAAGCACTAATTAGCCACTGCTGTGAAGGGATTTTGCATGTGTAATTAAGGTCCTGATGAATTGAGATTATCTAGGTGTTCCTGACCTACTTAGATGAGCCCTGAAGGGGGACAGGGCTTATCCTGGGGAAGGATTTGAAGCACAACAGAGGTTCAATTTAAGGGAGATTCTCCATTGCTGGCTGTGAAGCTGGAGGGTACCAACTGGCAGGGAATGAGGGTGGCCTCTAGGAGCAGAAGGCTACCCTGCTGACAGCCAACAGGGGAATGGGGACATCAGTCCTACAACCACCAGAGAACTGAATCCTGCTGCAACCACGTGAGCTTGGAAAGGACATAGAGCTCCAAAACGTGGCCTGACCTTCATCTTAGGGAGATGCTGAGCAGAGAACCAGTGGTGCTGTGCTCAGGCCTCTGACCTACACAACCCTGAGCTCATGAATGGTGATTTAAGCATGAGTTGTACTAGTGCATTGCAGAGTATGACACAACTAACACAGCCTTCTGCATACTTGGCCTCTATGTATACTCAGGGCTGAGGCCACACAGATTGCTGAGGCTGTCAGATGTGCTTGGGAACATATATGGAAGGATTTCCTCCCCTGCCCTGTTGAAGTTATGCATAATAAAAGACTATTCTCCTTATAAGGGAGAGAAAATGAGAGCTCCAGAGCAACGACGCAGCAGCGTGGTAGAGTGAACCGGAATGAGTTTTAACCTACCAGATGACCTCGGGCAGGTCCCTCATGCTCTCTGGGTCTAAATTACCTTATCTATAAAATTTGCAGGTTGGTCCCCAAGGTCCCAAGAGACCTTTTCATGATACTTTATGGATCAAAGCCAAAACCAACTTCTCTAACCTCCTGCATCTAGAAATACAACTTATCTCCATTCTTAAGGGCTTCAGCAATTGCCTATCATGTACTGGGTGACGGAAGATTACCCAGGATGTACAACTCTTCACCTCAGCTGACTGTGGGTCAAAGAGCTGCAGAGTGTTAGGCTGGAAGGGACTTTGAACATCCAACCTCCTGACTACCACATTGATGAAGCTGGAGCCCAGACAGGGACCAAACTGGGCTGGCTCATCTCCAGCACTCAGTCCAGGGCTCTTCCTGCAATATCCCCAAGGGGAAAAAAAAAAGAGAGACCATAAGATTAATGGGCACTTGCCTAAGTTGACCAGTTAGCTCTTAAAATACCATCACATACTCAAAGAAAAGTAGAATAAGGCCAGGCGTAGTGGCTCACGCTTGTAATCCTAGCACTCTGGGAGGCTGAGGCGGGTGGATCGCTCAAGTTTAGGAGTTCAAAACCAGCCTGATAAAGAGCAAGACCCTGTCTCTACTAAAAATAGAAATTAATTGGCTAACTAAAAATATACAGATTTAATCATAGCGCAGGGTTAAGATAAAAAAAATAAATAAATAAAAAAATAAATAAATAAAAATATACAGAAAAAATTAGCCAAGCATGGTGGTGCATGCCTATAGTCCCAGCTACACAGGAGGATCGCCTGAACCCAGGAATTTGAGGTTGCTGTGAGCTAGGCTGATGCCATGGGACTCTAGCTTGGGCAATAGAGTGAGACTCTGTCTCAAAAAAAAAAAAAAAAAAGAAAAGTAGAATAATTTTATTAATGAGTTAAAACCCAAGGGAATCACGTTGCTTAATGGGGTTGTACTTTATCCTTATTGTATGAGTAAAATTTGCTTGGTGAGTCAGATAGACTCTGACCTGTGCTCCGTGATCTGTGACCTGGCATCATCCCTTTCTACCCTTCCCCATTTGTCTGCCAGCCTCTTCCATGCATCCACCCCAATTTGACCTCTGCTATCTCACTTTATTGCACTATTAGATTCATCCTTGGAGAATAGGTTTCTTTGAAACTTGCTGAAAGATATCATTTACGGTTTCTACACATTTAGTCTTTATGCATATTCTTTCTCTGAACATTTCGTACCTGCTACATATGAAATAGCAAAGTTGGGAACAGAGAGGAACTTATGTACGTGGCACTGGTTAAAGTGGAGAATGGTGTGAAGGCAGGATGTGCTTCATTACAGAACAGACATACCAAAAGAATTCCTTTTGGTATTCTAGAAAGTATGCATGTATCTATATAATTTATCATTACATCTATATGCCATAATACAACTAGCTTTCCTTGATGAACTTACTGCAACAAAGCTGATGCAAACTGAATCTAAGAGTTCTGCAAAGGAACCAAGTCAGCCTTGCATATTCCCATGAAATCCATGTTAATTATGCTACTTCAAATGAAAAAAAAAAAAAAAGCACCCTAAAGAGATCCAGGCTTTGGTTGAAATTATTTCAAACCCGAAATATATCAGAATCTAGTAAATAAAAACATATGTCTGATATTTTGCAGAAAAGGTTTTCCAAGTTTAAAGTCCACTTATGATGTAGATAAGGTTTGACTTTTCGCTCTCAAGAAATGCTAATAATATGGTGGGAAGATTTAGATTCTATCATCATTCGAGTCAATCATTTCTTTTAATAAGATTTCATTTACAAAGTGATAAAACACATCTCAAGATATAACTGTGAATGAGATGTACCTCTGCAGAGATAAGCAGCTTGTTTCATACTTTGCTATGCCATAAAACCTGCGGTTTCCAACCCCTGGGCCACAGACTGGTATTGGTCAGTGGCATGTTAGGGACAGGGCCCTGCCTCTGTCCAGGGAAAAACTGTCTTTCATGAACAGGGACACGGGAGGTGAGGTGGTGGGCACAGCATTTATTCCGTATTTATAGCCACTCCCCATCGCTCGCATCACCGCCTGAACTCCACCTCCCCTCCCTACTTCTAAGGAAAAACTACCTTCCATGAAACTGGTCCCTGGTGCCAAAAAGGTTGGGGACCGCTGCCATAAACCATCTAGTGGCAGGTGCTGACAAATATTCATTGCATGTGAATGGGAGACAGACTTCTGTGTACTATATAATATGCATGTGAGTCATGAGTTACCTGGAAACCAAACAAACTGGTCTCCAACACCTGAGGTGCCAGAGGAACACTCACCGTCGTTTCTGTCCACCATGACCGTGTGACAAACCGCAAGCAGGAAGAAGAACTGCCGGACTTCCTGCTCCTTCCCCGACTGGATCTGCTCAATGAGATAGTGGTCGTAAAAGGCAAACTTCCCATCAGCAAACGTGTTCCAGCTAAAATCAACTTGCTGAAAGAAATGGAGGAGGAAAACAAAACATGATTTTAAAAAATTGTTTTGAGTTAACACATGACATGACGATTTCTTCAAAGTCAAGTTTTTTCATTATGCAAAAATCACCTTAGGATTTTAGCACATTCTTAAGTGTCAAGAGGCTCGCACCTGTCTTAAAACCCAAAAGACATGCTGTGGCTCTAACCCCTGGTACTTAGGAATGGAGCCTCATTTGGAAGTAGGGTCTTTGCAGATGTAATCAAGGTAACATGAGGTCATAGTGGATGGATGTGAGTCCTAATCCAACAGCTGGTGTCCTCATAAGAGGAGGGACATGTAAACACAGGGAGAACGCCATGTGACAACAGAGGCAGAGATGACAGCATTGTGTCTGGACGTCCATGAGCTAAAGAGCATCCAGGATCGTGGGCAACCACCACAAGTGAGGAAGAGCAAGGACAGATCCTTCCTCAGAGCCTTCCAAGGAAGCATGGCCCTGCCTACACCCGATTTCCCTCGCATCTCACACAGTTCTGTAAGGACTTACCTCTATTTTGTTGTGATTGTGTTGCGAAGCATCCCGATGGTCTCCTGAGAAACAAACGGGACAAAACAGACTGAGTCTCCACCTGCGTCCAGAGCCCCTCCCCACCTGGCCTTGCTCACATGGTGGGGGTGACCACAGGGCGCTCACGGCCTGTTTTTAGACAGTCCTCGAGTTAAGAATGGTTTTTACGTTTTTTTAAGAGTTGTTAAAAAAGAATATTTGATAAGGACTGCACACGGCCTGCCAAGGCTGAAATATCTCCTATCTGGCTCTTTACGGAAAGTTTGCTGACGCCTTGCTGGGGCCTGACCCCCGTCCTCCTGCCACCTCCTCAGGGGCCTGAAGCACGTCCTTTGAAATGCTTTGCCACCTGCCTCTCAGAAGAGACTTCTGCCACGCACGTGAGCCACTTCCTCAGCCCCTCGGCGTCCAACCTTTCTCACTGCTGCTCCTTCTGTGAAAACATGTTCATGGTACCCTTCCTTCAAGTGGAAGGAACCTAGTGTCTGTATCTTTGTAAAAATTGTACTATTAAGTCATTATTTAAAAGTTGAAGTACTATTTGAATATGGTATTGGCCTTAATATTGTTCATAAATATATAGCACATTTCAGAAAATTAGAGTGGAAATCAACTTTTAGAAAATTATAGTGAAATACACCAAAAAAATGTACTATCTTTTTTTTTTTTTTAAGAGATAGGGTCTTACAATGTTGCCCAGGCTAGAGTGCAGTGGCCCAATCATTTTTCGAGATTTGTTACAAAAAGAATAATATTTGATAATATTCACTACAGTCTTGAACTCCTGGGCTCAAGCAATCTTCCTGCCTCAGCCTCCCAAGTAGCTGGGACTACAAGCATGTACTACCATGCCCAGCTAATTTTTAAATTTTTTGTAGAGACAAGGTCTTGCTGTGTTGCTGAGGCTGGTCTTGAACTCCTGGCTTCAAGTGATCCTGTTGCCTCAACCTCCCAAAGTGCTGGGATTATAGATGTGAGCCACCGTGGCCTGGCCAAAATTGGCCATTTTAACCATTTTTCAGCATACAATTCAGTGACAGTAAGCACAGTCACACTGTTGCCCAACTGTTTCACCTTGAAAAATTGAAATTCTATACCCATTAACAATAACTCCCATTTCCCTCTCCCCAGCCCTTGGTAACCACAATTCTACACCATCTCTGTGAATTTGACTATTCTTAGTATCCCATATAAGCAGAATTACACAATATTTGTCTATATGTGACTGGCTTATTTCACTTAGCATAATGTCCTTAAGGTTCATCTGTGTTGTAGCATGTGTCAAAATTTCCTTCCTTCCTTCCACTGAATGACATTCCATTGTACGCATGTACCACACTTGTTTATTCATTCATTCATCAATGAATGCTTGGGTTGCTTCCATCTTTTGGCTATTGTGAATAACGCTGTTACAAACATGGGTGTAACAAACACCTCTTTGAGTCCTGTTTCAAATGCCTTTGAGTATATACCCTGAAGTAGAATTACTGGATCTGATGGTAATGGTATTTTTAATTTTTTGAGGAATGTGAGCCCATTTTTGATGCTCACCTCCCCTGTGGATGTGTCCCAATGCCATCCACAATGCTCCTCTGGCCCTCGGCCAAAGAGTGACCAGTGCAGCAGGACTCTATATGGGGATGACACCAGCAACTCGAGGCAGGCAGGCCCCAGGCCAGGCAGCGGGCTGCACACAGCAGGCAGTCCCCTCCTCTAGGACATGCCCCATGGCTTCCACTCACCATAAATCTGCCCGTTGATGCAGCACTTTTTAAAGGTCATGATATTTTGTGTGAGTGTCCCCGTTTTATCAGAGAAGATATAATGGATCTGCCCAAGCTGCTCATTCAGCGTAGTGGTTCTAGCCTTTGCGGGTGTGTCCTTCTCAGAATAGTACATCTGCAGGTCCCAGTTAATGAAATGACTCTGTCCGAGACGAATCACTTCCACGCTAGGAAGACAAAAGGTTACTTTCCACAGAGAGCTCAGATACGAGTGGCAGGTGCTGGGTTTGATCATCACTTGTGCAGACAGGGGCATGTCTACTGCTATGGTCTGAACATTGGTGCCCCTCACCCCCAATTCATATGTTGAAGCCTAATCCCCAATAGTACTGGAGGGGTGCTTTAGAAGGTGATTGGCTCTAGAGGGCCTCGCCCTCATGAATGGCATTAGTGGCCTTATCAAAGCCACCTGGAACTTGTTTGCCTTTCTGCCATGTGAGGACACAGCAAGAAGGTACCATCCACAAAGTAGAGAGCCAGCTGTCACCAGATACCAAATCAGCTTTGATCTCACATTTCCCAGCCTGCAGAACTGAGAGCAGTAAATTTCTGCAAGTTACTAAGGCTAAGTTCTTTTGTTATAGCAGCCCAAATAGACTAAGACATCTGCAAGGAGACAAGCCATGCTACGGCCCGTGCACTCAGCCTCTGGGCTCTCTGGACTAAATACACCAGTCTCCAGCTTCAGGGTGGAGCTAATTCTAGGCTAGTAGTTTCTCCCCAAAGTGCCTTGCTCAGTGTGATTGCCCACTCAGTCTTGAGCACATCTGGCCACCGCACCCCTTGTTCAGAACACGCAGCCCAGAAGAAAGGGTGGCACAGTAACACTGCAGACAGAGCCAGAGGATGCAGCAAGCCCAACTCTCTTTCTCTAGTTCCCTGTTGCACCCATGGGCAACTGAGATGGCCGTAATGTACCTTCGCCCCAGTGGCAGGGCCAGCGGGTGAGGGACCACTAGCTTACAGCCTGCACTGTGCTCTCAAATAGGGCAAAAGGCTTTCGGTAAATACCCCTAAATCATGATCCCACACTGTGAAAAAGCATATTTTAAAAAAGAATTCTTATTAGGTTACAGGATGTCCAAAATAAGATATTCCTTATTTTAATTTTGAAACTAACAAGGGATTAAATATATCTCAGTTATAAGGAAACCGTTTACATATCCAGCAACTGTTAAGTGGTCAAAGGATTCTTTTATAACAACTCCCTCCCGCTCCCTCTCTCCCTTCAGTATTTCCTGTGTGCCTACTGTGTGCCAGCCACCATTCTAGGTGCAAGGGATATGTTAGCAAACTAAACAGACAACACCAGTGCTCTTAAGGAGATTACCTCCTAGTGGAGACAGATGAATAAATAAATCAGTAAATTGACACTGTATCAGGGGGTGAACGTTCTCTGCAGAGAACCAAAGCAGCCTAAGCGGAGATGGCAATCAAAAGGCAAGGCAGGGGTAGTGGAGGTTAGAGTGGAGTGGCTTGGGACAGGTCAGGGGGTTAAGATGCTGTCCGAGTAGAGGCCTGCAGGAAATGAAGAGGCAGCAATAGCTATCTCGAGAAGGATGTTCCAGGCAGAGGTAAGAGTAGATGCAAAGGCCCTGTGGCAAGAGGAGTATGAAGGGGGCTAGAGTGGTGGGCGCTTAGGGAGGTGGGTGGAGGTGCAGGAAGTATGGGCAGGGGGTGAGCATGAGATCACATTGGGCCTTCTAGGTGACAGTGTGCCCTCAATGTGTCTATTCTGAATGAGATCAAAAGCTGCTGTAGGATTGAAGACGTAGCAGAGATACCATCTAGAAAGACTGACCCAACATGCTTTCAAACGACCTTTATTTCCAAGAGAAATAAAGAAATGAGGCCAAGTGGGAAAGTCGCTTGAAGCCAGGAGGAGTTCAAGATCAGCCTGGGCAACATAGTGAGATCATGTTTCTAAAAATAATTAAAAAAAAAAAAAAAAAAAGTTTCTCTACTCCCACTGCTTCACTTGACCAGCCTTAAAGAAAAAAAAAAATTTAAAAAAAAGGAAAAAAATTGTGTTTGTCACTTGATATACCTTTTCTTTCTTAACATAAAACTACATAGTTTACGTTATAATATATGCTGATAGTCTTAGACAAAATAATCTATGTAATAGTTCCCTTAATAAAAGTAACATTCATCTCAGTTTTTTCCGAAGTAGCTGTGGAACAGATGGCTACTCCAGGGCTTGCCTTCATGTTAAAAGAACAACAGTAATAAAATTAAAAATAAAACAAATATACATATAATAAAAAACAAATGCACATGTAATAAAATTAAAATAAAATAGCTACCCCTAATTACAGGTGTGGATGTGATCCTGTACGCCTTATTGGAACTAAAACAGACCCTGGGTGCTGGGTATATTTCAAGGCAGGACTCCCCCACCACCACCACCAAAGGTCTAAAATCTAACCGGCCAGTGACAGTAAACTTTGAGAGGGAAGAAAGAAAAAATAAAAAAGGAAGAAATATCACCAAACAAGGCGATTACCACTCGTCAGAAATATGGTCCTGACTCTGTTGCTGAGATTGAGATGAGAGACAGAGTATTTTTATCTATTTATTTTATTTATAATTTATTTATTTATATATTTTTGAGACAGAGTCTTGCTCTGTTGCCTGGGGCTAGAGTGTTATGGCGTCAGCCTAGCTCACAGCAACCTCAAACTCCTGGGCTCAAACCATTCTCCTGCTTCAGCCTCCCAAGTAGCTGGGACTACAGGCACAAGCCACCATGCCTGGCTAATTTCTTCTACATATTTTTAGTTCACCAATTAATGTCTTTCTATTTTTAGTAGAGACAGGGTTTCACTCTTGCTGAGGCTGGTCGTGAACTCCTGACCTTGAGCGATCTTCCCTCCTCGGCCTCTCAGAATGCTAGGATTACAGGTGTGAGCCACCGCGCCAGGCCCAGACAGAGCATTTTGAGAGCGAGCTGAAGGGCAGGGAACTTCCTTCCCACTGGGATGTGCTGGCCAGAAGCACAGTGAGGCTTCCACAGCGGGTGTGGCAGGTGGCGATAAGGAAGATGCAGATAAGAGGTTAGGAAGGTTCCTGAGAAGGAAACTCAGTTTTTCCCTGACATTCTAAATCTTCACCTTCTTTCAGGCTCCTTTTGAAGCCTGGGCTCTGGAACCCACTGAGAAGGACTCTTAGCAAGTGAACGGCGACAGACGTAGCACTGATCTTTGAACTTCTTTAGCCGTATCTCACGGAGGATGAGATAGCAGGTGCCTGGCACAGGGTAGACACTGAAATATTAATTTCCTTTTCTCCTCTATTACCCTCAATTCTAAAAGGAAAGTTATTTGCTAAACTTGTTCCTTATGACCTTTGAAACAATTATCACTAGAAACGAAGATGCTACGTGATCAAAAGATACTACATTCTTCGCTATAAGCAGAGGACCGCCTTACCTGACATACAGGGAGATGGGCACCATGGTGTTAAGGACGATGATGTAGCCCCAGAAGTTGAGGAAGCCACGGTATGAAGGCGTAGCATTTTCTCCGTCGTAGAGGTACCAAGAGTAATTGCCAACTTGTGCCTCCCAGTAAGCATGACCAATGGCAAGGCCAGCAGAAACCAGAATGAGAACAACGAAGATCTAGAAGACATAAAACATTCACGTGTATACTGGAGATGGACTTCCAATCCTGTGCATTTCGTAGGTGCTAATTAACCTTACCCAATCTTTCATACATCTATAATTTAGTGGTTTGTTAAAATAATACACTTAAAAGCAGTGTCGTAAGAATGCTTTGGAAGTCTACTTGATTGTTAACGATTAATATATCCTACGTCTTACATACAAGGTGAGGTTTTGTTTCCAAAATTATTTTTCAAAAAAGAAGGTGGTATCTTACATTGAAATCCTTAAAGACATGCATATTACAGGGCATTTTCTCAATTACTTTTACTGTGAACAATAACATACTGTCTGGAAGAGACACCTTAGCATGAAACAACTTCAAACAATGCTGAACTGAGATGCTTATAGAAAACATTTAGGCCGGGTGCGGTGGCCCACGCCTGTAATCCTGGCACTCTGGGAAGCCGAGGCAGGAGGATTGCTCAAGGTCAGGAGTTCAAAACCAGCCTAAGAGCGAGACCCCGTCTCTACTAAAAATAGAGACAAATTAATTGGACAACTAAAAATATATAGAAAAAATTGGCTGGGCATGGTGGTGCATGCCTGTTGTCCCAGCTACTTGGGAGGCTGAGGCGGAAGGATTGCTTGAGCCCGGGAATTTGAGGTTGCTGTGAGCTAGGCCGACACCACAGCACTCTAGCCTGTGAACAGAGTGAGACTCTGTCTCAAAAAAAAAAAAGAAAAAAAAAATTTGATGGAAATTATTTAAAAAAAAAAAATGGCAAGGAAATTTCACCCATATCTTCTGGGTCATTGTTCTTCGGAGTGTAATGTCACAAGTATCACATGACATTGTAAACAAGATCACTTAAGAAGCAATACAATATGTATTATGTTGTGGAAATTATAAGTATGTATTTATGGAATGAATAAAAGTCAACTATTCTATTGGTATTTGGGGATTTACATGTGGGAATAAAGTTTCCAAGGACAAATTTAAATTTCCAGACGCAAGTTCCAAAAGTGCTATATCTCAGACCAATTAGGCAGAGAGAGAGATGGTGGATCTTTGTGAGTGCTCTAATCATAACCATGATAATGACACTGGCGATGAATGTGAAAAGTTCAAATAAGATTTTCATGAAATGTGAGAGCATAAGTTTATTATTTTTATATGATTTTAAATTTGTATACGTAATCCAAGAATAAGTATTATTGTATAAGTCTCTAAGAGTGTGCATTCAAATTGAACTAAATGCTAGAGAAAAAAATCTCACTGGGCAGCTGAAGGACTACTTAATATTTGGGGTCACAGTATGGGCAGAAAAGAGTTAACACAGCAGGCCTGAGACTGCTTCCTCAGAAGAGTCCTGCTTATAAGGTTGGCCCACTGTATCTAGGACTCCCTGGTTTTCCAACTGCTTACTCCAGTGAGCAAAGCACTCAGGGAACTCTACAACTCAAATTTCCCTTCCCAACTGAAATGCCATCTTAGAAGTATGGCATTTCTGAGAAAAGGTGAGGGGATCCCTTCTTCCTGCATTTGAAGCTTAGTGTGACCAAGCATATTTCTATTCCATCTAAAGAGGTAAGATTATTTTGCATTAGAAAAACACACAACAAAATTAGAGCCAAAGACAACAAGATGGGGAATAAATACCGTGTAAACCATGTAGTTCATCAAGTAATCAATTTTAGTTCTTTTAAATCTAGTTTTCCCACTATTCTTCATTATTTTAGTGTCAGCACCTAAAATAGAAAATTCAATGTGATCAACAATTGGGAAGATCAATTCAACAGCATGTCAATAAAATTACCCTACCTTTGGTTTGGATGGAGAGAAGACAGAAAAGCAATTTCTCCTTTAAATCTTTAAAGCTCCTAAGTAGAACAATTTCCCAAGAAATTCCAAAATTACCTGCAAAAATGACCAATCCATGACAGAAATCGGTGTTCCTAATTACACAGCCACGTAGCAGAATTTTATCAGCATCCAAAGGGAAACTTTTCTTTCTCCAAAGTAGTGTTCCTGTAAACTTATCTAATCGGTTATTGGGTTCTTCACATTCAACAAAGCCTTTTAAAAGAAAAAAGGATAAGATTCACATAATTAATCACATGTGAAAGATTTTCTGGTTTTAATCAGTAGGAACTGAATTGAGCATCTAAATTTAAAACAAAATAAGACAAGTTTGCTACAAACCATCGAATGTTGCCAATGTATCTTCTGTTTGGAGATACTGGTCTGTGATTTCAAGTGCCATTTTGAACTTTAAATTGGTTTCTCTAAAGGGAAGAGGAAAAAAAAAGAATTAAATGAACAAATTTTGGAGTTCAAAAGGGAATATAAAGATAGTCACACAAAGTAATATTCAGCATACCTGGAAGTAAAGGTTAAATAATTTGCTTTTTCTATTTTTCAAACACTGTGTTTACCTTAGAACTTCAGGTTTGGATGAGGTTATCCCTTGAATTAGAGAAAATTCCTGACCTTGGGACATGTCGGTCCCCTTCACTGTTTGCTGTTGTGAAGGACAGAGGTACCCACAAGCTTCCTTCTCATTAACTTAACCCCTTACCACCTGCGGGGACTACCACATTGCTGTTTAAAAATGTAGCTTCTGATATTTAATCACATGAAGATGATTCTAATAAAACATACTTGTTACAGAAATTCTGTTTAGCCTCTGGCAACTTATTATTTTCCAGAGTCAATAACTGGATCACATATTTGTGAAAGAATCTTATTCCAGAAAGGAGGTGGTTAGCTTCACTCCCAATACTTGGTATGCCCCACCCACAGTGGAAGGTAAGGTACCTGCACGTGGGCACACAGGGGCAGGCTGGGGACATGTGCTATAGAGAGCAAGGACACCTTCTCACAATGGACAGCCTTTAACAGGTTTCACAAATAGCTACTCGGGAATTTCCATGTAGTAGGAAGTCGACCGTTGGTTCTCAACTTCACCATTCTCTTCTGACACGGCATGTTAGGATTTTTTCCCCTTTGTAAAGCTTTGGAATCTCTTACTCATGGCAAAAAATAGCCGTTTTGAAGTTAAGGTTCACTAGTCAACCAATAGGTTTACAGAGCAAAGACAGACCTAATTTTCATCTGCATGATCTTAGCTCTCCATAAAGTAGAGTTTGTATGTCGAGGGCACAGGGAGCAAGGAACACAGGGAGCAGGGTCTCATCTGCTCATCTGCACTCACTCACTGTGTGACCTTGGGCCTCAGTTTCCTCGTGGGTCTCATGGGGTCATTGAGATGTAAAGTGCCTGTAACCTTGTAAGTCCTCAATGAACAAAGTGAAAACTGGTCAAAACTTTATTTTTTTTTTTAAAATGGGATAATAACCAAAACAAAAGGAGAATTCAAAATTGATTATTGGCAAAGACGTTAAAAAAATCTTTTTTCTGAAACAGGTAATAGTCATGCTGTTTGCACACCGCCCAGTAGCTCAGAAGGAACTCAGACCTGTACATGCCCATGTGATCCTTTGACCTTCCCTGAGAGGTGGGAAAGGCAGGTACCGAGACCTCTGGTTTACGTTACAGATGGGGGAAAGAAAGGTCCCGTTCACTGGGGACACTGCTGGACAGACAGCAAGTGGCAGAGGCGAGGCCAGATGTCACGGTCCAGGTGCACAGATTTCAACGTAAGGAACGTGCTGTCGGAGGCCGGCTTGGGGACAGGCCGGGGGAAGGCACTCTTACCCGTCCAGTTCCGCCGTTTCCACGTAGCAGAGGCTGTTCGGTTCAGAGCTGGACAGCAGCAGAATGTCGGCCTGTTCAAAACAAAGCACGTCAGTAACACAGAGACGCCACCCCCTCCCGCCCCACCCCTGCCCAGGGAGAAACCGGGTGTGGGGTCCGGGGTAGGGGGTAGAGCGAGGCATGAGAGAAGCAGAGCTCGTTCACTTACTGGAATGAAATCATTCTTTTTAAGACGAATGACATCTCCAACTTGAATTTCTTTCCACTTGGCAATTTTAAACCTAAGGATTAAAAACAATGATAACTTATTTGTTTTTAAGGTATAGGCAAGAGAATTATTATTTTTTTTTCTGGATAGCAAAGATTCTGGAAAATGTAAATGTCACAGGGAGATCATCTGCCAAAAGTCCGCCCTTTTGATGATGTCAGCACATGAAGTGGGCAGGGGAATCCTATCATCTTTGCAGGGAAGTGATGATGACGGTGACGAGTTTGATGTGTTCTTTCCATCAATTTAAGATAATTTAAACAAATTATCTTTTTGATGAGTATCTACCACTTTCATAACAAATGTAATAAGGAAATTAATAAAATGTAAAATAAAAAGATGACTGTGTTTGGTATTATATTCCCTAGGAAACAAATGCTCATTTAAATTTTTAACAAATCAATATTTTCAAAAGTTTTAAATCATAATACTCTGTTGTAAAGATTTTCACATATATAAAAGACCTCACAGACATGATGAACCTAGCATAACTAATTCATTTTTCTGGAGGCAGAAATCTAACTGCTATGTTTGTCTCCCATTCATTTATGGATTAAAAAATAAAACCTGGAGATTTAAAATACATCTTAAATATGTTTATGCCTCAGTTTCTCTAATTTTGCAAGAGTTTCATACATAATTCTTAACCCCAGGATTTTTTTTTTTAACTTGGCTTACTTTTCAATAAATGATACTGAAGTTTTTGGGGTTTTTTTCAGACATTTCAATATTTCTAATATTGTAAATCAGAAATTTACAAGAGTCTGAAATGACAAATGGACAAGTTAGTGCCTTGTGCTGGCTCTCTGGGAGCACTAGCGACAACTCCACTGGGCTCTTCCACCTGATGTTCCGGTCTCCCCTGAGGAGGCCCCTGTGCTGTGCCACACGCATGCACACGTTCTGGCAGGCTTGTCCCCACTGCAGGGGCTCCTGGGGCCATGGCCCTGTCATACGTGCAGCCTCGACTCACAAATCCGAGGCAACTCGGAGCTACTCTTTCCCGGCAGAGTTGGCTACGTCATGGGCAAAACAGAGTGTGGGCTGGCCGTGGATCTCACCACATTCCCAATATTGATTCTCAGTGACTTGCATTCAATAATAAAAATTAATGGAGGCCACTGTTTTGGACTACGCGTCTGTACTTGGCCCGAAAAGACCAGATTAAATGCCAAAATGGAGTTGCCCATGCTGAGGTTCCATGTCGCCAAACTGAAACTGAGCGACTGTCCATCTGAGAAATCAAATTTCCCAAACAGAATTAGTTTCAGTCATGATAATAACGTTCCCCCTGCTTTAATCCTTACCAAAAAAATAACCTGATGTTAACCTGTTATTTCTCTATTGTTCTGTTTTCCTGTTCCCACCTCATAAGGAAAGTAACTTTCAAATGACTAATATGCTTTTTGTTCCTGGTTTTTGCTTTCTTCAGCTCTTCTTTGTCTATAAAACCAAACTTCTCTGCTGGGCTCCCTGGAACACTTAATTCTGTTTCACGGAATGAAGTGTTACCCAATTCTAGAATCGTAAATAAAGCCAATTGAGATTTTTAAATTGTTGTAATTTTGTCTTTTGACACCTTTAGGTCAATTTTGGAAATCTACTTATTTGCAAGTGGAAAAGCTATCTAAACATATTCACGGCTTGGTGCAGCCTGTTATTTGCATTACACACAGGGATGGATGACTGTAAATCAGGTTTTACACAGGGACGGATGGCTATAAATCAGGTTATTTTCCTCAGTGTTGACACATAAAAAGTCTTTGAATTGGGCCTTAGTCATTATTTTTAGCACTTGAATTTGCAGTTCTGCCTTGAGGCTCTAAACAACTCATCACTGGTTGCTGTGTTGGTACTTCGGTCACAGTCGAATGTTAATTTCACAAACGTGTATTGAGTGCTTTCTGTGTGTTGGAGGCAGAACAGTACCCTCAAGAAATGTACAGTCCAGGTTAGAAGATTTTAATAAAATTCATATAATAAAAAAAATGAAAACAAAATGCTCTGAAAGTGTAGGGAAGCGAGATATCACCTTAACTGGACCATCTGGGGGAAGGTGTCAAGACATGAGTAAAGCCCTGAAAAGGAGAAGTTTGGGAGGCTGCAGGAGTTGTGTAAACACAAGATGTGCTGATAACACAAAGCTCCATCAGGAAACAGCTGGTAATCCGATTTGAACATAGCCTCAGGGCCATGAATGTGATGCAATTTTTTTTT